TGTGGTCCATATATACAATGGAATACTATGCAGCCATCAAAAAAAAGAAATCTTGCCATCTGCAGCGACGAGATTGGAAGGAGAGGGTATTATGCTGAGTGAAATAAGTCAATCAGAGAAAGACAATTATTATATGATTTCACTCATATGTGGAATTTAAGAAACAAAACAAAGGATAAGAGGGGAAGAGAGGAAAAAATGAAACAAGGAAAAAATCAAAGAGGAATACAAACCACAAGAGACTCTTAATCGTAGGAAAACAGGGTTACTGGAGGGGAGGGGCTGGGAATGTGGGGTAACTGGGGGATGGGCATTAAGGAGGGCATGTGACAGAATGAGCACTGGGTGTTATGTGCAACTGATGAGTCACTGACCTCCGCCTCTGGAACTAATAATACACTATGTGTTAATTAAGTGAATTTAAATTAAAAAAATAAAATTAAAATATGCCCTCCATAGCAAAAAAAAAAGAAAAAGCTAAACGATTTTCCTTTGAAAGTGGAAAGCATGCATAGATAATTGCACACATCGTTTAACCTGTCAGTGATAACAGGAAGAAGGTTTTGTTGAAGAATAACACGGCCGTCTATACAAGGCGCCTTGAAAGGATGAGGTCTTAGGCCATTCTGTACTGGATGCAGTTCCATTTTTAGCAAAAATAAATAAATAATTCATAGCCCGTAATCTTAAAGAGCTTTCTGATAAAAAGAAAAAAGGCAAATGCTGATCAGTGTGAAGCCTAGTTAGGAAATCGGGAGCTTTCCTTCACATCCCTCTGGACACAGTTATGGGACTCCTCGTCCCACATCCCGGCCTCCTGTACACTGACGTCCTGGTCCCTGCATTGAAGGTCAGAGTCACGTCCGATAACCAGGACCATGAGCCAGGTCGCTGGGGGAGCAACGTGATGCCCAAAGCACGTGGCCCTGGCCCGCAGGCCTCGGAGCCCAGTGCTGACCCCAGGACCCTGCCGCGTGGCACCCCCGAGGGCGGGTGCAGCTGAAGGCGTGCGAGGGAGCAGCTCCCACAGCTCTGTGTCCCCCTCGGGTGAGGCAGCAGAGCTAAAGGATGTTCATCTGGGGCCACACGAAGTTTTGACCTCACTGGATGACTGCAGCGGGAGGTGGGTCTGTCCACCTGCAGGAGCCCTGTGGCTCCGACTGTCCCGGTGGCGAAGCAGGTGAGAACGTCAGGGACGGTGTGGACTGTGGTCCTCAGCCAAGGCGCAATCCGGAGGGCGGGGCGGGGGCGGGGGGCGGGGGCGGGGGCGGGGCAGCCGCCACAGCCGGGCCTCCACTCCAGCACAGGCAAGGAACACGCCTGCAGGGGGGAAACTGTGCATGCAGGCGTGCAGGGAAGGGTCCTGGGGATCCCACGGCGACCCGCATGGCACCTGCAGCTCTGAATCAGCTGGGTCCAATGGGGTAAGAGTGAGTTCCTTAATCAACTGGCCACAGGCCTAAGCACTTCTGCTGCAGAGCGCAGGGCGGGGGGCCGCTGGGGTGTAAACTCCCCACGGTTCCCATGCCGCTGTGACAGAGCTCACCCTCGGTGGGCATTGGTGCCACGGACACGGCTCAGAGGGAAGAGAGAAGGCGTTTCAGAAATGCCAGCTAGGAGAGAAAGGTGACTCATCAGGCCTGCTGCTGGGGCCTGCCCCACGAAGATTCGTGATGTGTGCAAGACGCCAGGCCGTGGTGTCTCGAGGACCGGTTTCTGAAGCGAGAGAGCCGGCTCGGGTGAGACCCCAGATTCCCCTGCACGGGGTAGACAGCACACAGTCAGTCCCTCAGCAGGAACCAAGAACACTCGGCGTGATTTCCAGGCGCGGGCCCAGAGGAGCCCCGTGTTCGTGAACCTAGACTCTCATCTACCTGGGTCTGGAATGCCCTTGACCCCACTGTAGTCTCGGCATGCTCCCTGGACTTCCGTTCACCTCAACAGGCTTTCTGCTTCCACCTTCGATCTCTTCCTTGAGCCACGGGCCATTTAGAACGTGTTGTTCAAGCTCTGCCTTTGTGATCTCCCTAAATTTTCCGTCAAGGATTGGTCAAGGACTTCTAATCTCATTCCACTGCGGGCAGAGAACATATTTGGAATGATTTCCATTGAGGATTGTCAATGGTGAGCATGAGCCCACTCTGGAGAATGTCCCATGCGTTCTGCTGTGGGTGGCGGGCACTCCTGGTCAGTTGCGGCCCTTGGACTTCCATCTTGCAAAGTAATTTAATTTTTGTTCTTTATGTTCCCTGGAATATAATGGAAGAGTGCTGTGTATCCAAGTTTAAGGCATCTTATTGCTGTCATTTCATTAATGTTGGACTGTCCCCATCCCCCAAATTCATATGTTGATATCCCCACCCCCAGTGTGACCTGGTCAAGAGGAGGGGCCTTCCGGATGTGATTACATCACAAGAGCGGAGCTTTCATGACTAGGATTAGTGCCCTAATCCTGGGGCCCCTGAGCCTTCTGCTGGAATGCCAAGTTCTGGGCCATCTGGTAAGTGTTCGGTCTCATTTTTTTTTTTTTTTTTAGAAAAAGGAACGCCCAAACTCGTTTCCAGAATGGCTGTAACATTCCACGTAGGGAAGGCTGAGTTTCTCCACCTCCTGGTCAGCATTTGGTGCTGTCACTATGTTGCATTTTAGCGGTTCTAATGGCGTTTATGTGATTTTAACCTACCTTTTCCCACTGCCTTTTAGAAATCATCGATTTCACGTGCAAGTATTTGCGGGCCCATTGTACAGTACAGCAGACCCCTAGGCGACCTGCAGTCTGGAAGAGGAAGCAGGACAGGACACGGAAGCAATCACATTCCACCGACATTCAGCCCTACGATCAGCAGCGCCCGCGCTGGCGAATCTTTTATCCCCAACTTATCCTTGAAATCTACTGCTGGTTTTTGTAGGGCGACAATGAAAACATCGTGTCTTCGAAAACAAATCCCCCCATTTTTAAGAGGTACATACGGACATGTTCGGAGATGATGTCTAGGGTTCGCTTCACAATCCTGGGAGCGTGGTTAAGGGCCGGGGCATGATTGACACGAGAGCGGGCGTGAGCGGTCATCCCCGAGGTTGGTCACGGGTGACGGGAGCCCGTTATACCGCTTTATACCCGGCATTACTGGACCTTAGAAGTACTTGTAAAACATCTTTGAAAATCCTTCGGAAGTATCCGGTTTGGGTTTTCTCCCCTAGCGTGGGGACAGAGCGCTAAGTCCTCGGTGCCGCGCCGCCGGGCCCGGAACCCGGCACAGCGCGGGGCGCGGGTGGAGGCTGAGGCCAGAGAAGGGGCGGCAACGCGGGGACGTGTCGAGAACAGAGCCGTGTTCCCCGCCCGGTCCCGGCCCCCGGGACGGGGACGCACCCAGCGGACGAAGGCGGCGCAGCCTAACCCCGGCAGGGGGTGCGGGAGACCCGGGCCCGGCGCCCCCCGAAGCTGCGGGCCCCCGAGGCGCGCCGGAGACGAGGGCGGGAGCTCGGGCGGACTCGCTGGCGGACGCACGCACCGGCGCCGCCCGCACTCCCAGGCCCCGCCCGTCTGACGACCCCCGAGACGCACGACGCCCCGTTTCCGGACGATCCCCGCGGAACGCCGGCCGCGGTTCGCCGCGGAGCGCAGTGCCCGGCCCGGGGGGCGCAATGCCGGGCCGGGGCGCTCCGCGGGGCCGGGGGCACCGCCGGGCGGTCAGGGTAGAGTCCGCGCGCTCCAGCGAGCGCGGCCCGCGGGGTCTGGGCTCCGGCCGCGAGTGCGGGACACAGTCCGAGTGCGGGGGCCGCGCGCTCTGGGTCCCACGACGTCCGCGCGAGTCGCGCGTGGGGCGCCCGGGACCCGACACGGCCGGCCTCTCGCCACACCGACCGCGGCCAGCACGCGCCCAGGAACTGCGCACGCGCGCGTCCAGCTCCGGCGCGCAGGTGCTGGTGCTCCCGCCCCGCCCCTCCCCGCCCCGCCGCAGAGCCGGGTCACCGCGGGGCCTTCCCACGCTCCGGCGCGTCGGCGACGGGCGCGCGCACGCTGGAGGGCTCCGGGGAGCGCCGCGGCGTCGGCGACGGGCGCGCGCACGCTGGAGGGCTCGGGGAGCCCCGCGGCGTCGGCGTCGGGCGCGCGCACGCCG